CACAAAAAGATTTAAATCATAATATCTAATTGAGTTTTAATTACAAAGTATAGAGTAGCAAGGTCCTACATGAAAAAAATTTGCATCAGCGATGTATTCAATGTTTTTAAAAAAATTCGTAGGTCTATATAAACCCTTGCTTTAATTTCAAAGAAACAATTCTAAGACAAATTGTTTAGGAACCTAGTGCCTTTTCTTTCCATGTGTCTAATTTGGTAAATCTCTTGCTACGATAATACCAGGTCTGATTTTTTTTTTCCCCTAGGAGAGAGCATTGATTAAATGACTTAGGAAATTGTTTTTATCGAGAAATGGAGACTCTGATCTTAGTTATTGCTCAATTAACTTTAAAGTTCAATACATTTTTATTGAACCCACACATACTTTAATGTGAATTGCTTTTTACTAATTGATCTGTAGGAATCACAATGACAGTTTTGGTCACCTTTTAGGCTTCTTTTATTCTCATTCAGAAAGTTCCTAAACTTCATTCATAGTCATTAAATCAAGAATGATTTCTGGAATCAAGAAGATAGTCAAGAGAGATGTAAAGTTCTGGTTTGATCTCCTCCCGTGATTTGTGAAATGTCACCACGTTCACTCCTAGGTTTCTGTATCCCAGGACACCACCCCAGCTGGCTTTATTCAAACCATGGAGCCATTAATTCCTTCATTCAACAGAAGCACATATTTTTACATTTTAGTATTTCTGAAATTGGGGTATATTTTGTTATGACATCGTCTATGGAATAGCAGCCTCCAAATAATGGCTGCCAGGTGCTGGCAGTGACGTGGCTACTGTTGCCTGTGCGCACAGGCTCAGGATTTCCTGACTTCAGTTGAAGCCCTGTGCAATGTTGGTACTTCACGTCTTGTGTTTGACTGTATTTTAGTTAACTGCAATTCTTCAGTGTTTCAGTCAAGAAATGTTTTAGCACCGTTTGAAAGAGAAACACGTGACCTTGTCTAAAAACCTACTGTGTACACCTTCTGGTAGATAGTTTGCACCAACAAGCATAGAAAACTTGCAGGACAGTTATCAGTAGTTCAGAAGAAAATCTTAGTCACAGCAGTACACTCTTTTATGAAGAAATGTGTACCACTAACACTCTTGATGGCAAATCAAATGATATTTTGTAAAACAAAACAAAACAAAAAAACCCAAGGGCATTGATAACTCTGGGTTAGTACAGAAAAGTTGGTGTCCATATGTGAGAATGTTTTGGAAATTTCTTAACTTAGACCTTATAGCTTATATAACAATTCATATGTATTATGTATTATATTTGTATGCTTTTGTATCATACTTAAGAACTTTCTGCATTCTTTCCTCTTAACCACTTGATTATGCATTAGAGAAAAGATTCTTTCTCTTTGCATCCCTGACCAACAAAGGTTTAGGAATAAGTTAAGCCTACCTATGACATCACAGACTCCTTAATTGTATATGACACATAACATTTGCTTCCACTAACCACCTTTTCATAATAACTATATAGAAATATTTATTTCACATTTCTAATTGTTAAAAATTAGTAACCAGGTTTTTCCCAGGTTTCTAAATGGAAACAATATTATCAAAGTTAGTGAGACACATATTTTAAGCACCAATTTTGTACTAGTAAGCATCAGGCTGAATATGGGTGTTTGTTTTGAAAAATAATTCATACAGAAGATCAGGGGCTCACCTAAATTTTGGCCATGCAGGCATTTGAACTCATCTTGATTTTTGCTTAGAATATTTATGAGGTAATATGAAGTAAAAATATCAAGTCAGCAGTTAAATAAAGGAGTTTTGTCTTTCACAGGATAAAATCGTACATAATCATGAATCTTATCACTTTCTCTGAAGGTCTTATTTTTTGTGATTTTCTTGAGAAAATACGCTTGCATGGCAAATTGGTTGTTTTCACCTTTTAAAATGCAAAGTTACGATTCTTATGGTAAAAGAGCAATTGCTCCAAGCTGATGTGAGACAATGAATACATCTCCCAGGCGCCATGCTGTGCTAAGGACGATTACCACGGAGAGTTTCCTGGTCCTTGTTCTCCTTCTGCCCCACACTAGGTGAGTGCTCCTGGAGACTTATGACATATAATTATAATTACCGGGGTGACTGAAGGATGCTTCTCCAGAATAAATGATGTAGATCCATTCCTACTGTTCATGTCTACATTTCAGGTTTACAGTAGAATTTAACAATGCATTTGAAAGTGTGTCAGTGAAAAAAGTATTTTGATATATCTAATTGTATTTTCACATGTAGTATTTGTACTAATACTACTATTAGTACATATAGTAGTATAAATAAATGGCTAAAATTTATACCAAATGACGTGCCTTGGTCAATGAGCTAATAAAACCTAGAAAGTGTTGGCCTTTGGCTTTGGTTTGCTAGGATGACTGGCCATGCCTTACCTGCCAATCTGCCCTCTAAATTGTCCCCAGTCTCATCACCAGTGACCCCATCAGTCTAGACCCAGGGAACACAATGTCCCACTTTTATTTCTCTAGATAAAATTTCTCTAGATAAAGTATGGACAAGACCTTCCCCCACTGGCTCCTTTTAACAAGAGCGAGATCATCTGGAATTTACAAAATAAATGCACAAAATTATGGACAATTTCTCAGTTTCTCAGTCACTAAAGAGCAAATGACACCCAAAATTTAGAGAAGGAAAAAAACAAATGAACTGTGTCCAAACGACAGAACTCTAATCTCAAAGACAAAGAAACAAACAACAGAGGGGAAAAAACGATACTAAATTCCTCTATCAAATAAAGATCTTAAAAAACTAATGTGGACAGGTATAAATGGAGTGAAAATTCTGAATAACCATTCTTCATGAAAGAAAATGACTTATTTAAAATTTTGAGTGGCAGTCTATTGAAATGTTGTAACAGACAAAATAGTTAAATTGTTTTCCATAGAAACAGGAAGATAGGCATATCTAGAAGGATCCCAGGGAGGGGATTCTAGAGGTAGTGCTGGTAAATGATGCAAAAACAAAAACAAAACCCCAACCCCAACAAAACCTCAACAACATCCAATTCATATATACAGATATATGAATTTGCATATATATGAATTTGCATATATATGAATTTGCATATATATGAATTTGCATATATATGTAAAACTAACTGATATGGTTTGACTCTGTCCCCACCCAAATCTCATCTTGAATTGTAGCTCCCAAAATTCCCTCATGTTGGAGTGACCCAGTGGGAGAGAATTGAATCACGGGGGCAGTTCCCCCCATACTGTTCTCGTGGTAGTGAAGAAGTCTCACGAGATCTGATGGTTTTATCAGCGGAAACCCCTTTCGCTTGGCTCTCATTCTCTTGTCTGCTCTCATGTGAGACGTACCTTTCTCCTTCTGCCATGACTGTGAGGCGTCCTCAGTCACGTGGGACTGTGAGTCCATTAAACTTGTTTTTGTGAATTGCCCAGTCTTTATCAGCAGTGTGAAAATGGACTAATACACTAACTTTTAAAGCCAGTAAAAACATAAGGTGCATCCGGCCGGGTGCGGTGGCTCATGCCTGTAAATCCCAGCACTTTGGGAAGCCGAGGAGGGCGGATCACAAGGTCAGGAGATCCAGACCATCCTGGCTAACACGGTGAAACCCCGTCTCTACTAAAAATACGAAAAACTAGCTGGGCGTGGTGGCGGCGCCTGTAGTCCTAGCTACTGGGGAGGCTGAGGCAGGAGAATGGCGGGAACCCGGGAGGCAGAGCTTGTAGTGAGCCGAGATCGCGCCACCGCACTCCAGCCTGGGCGACAGAGCAAGACTCTGTCTCAAAAAAAAAAAGCATCATAGATTTTAGGTCATTGAATCTCTAAAACATGTCGACTCATTTTCATAGTCATAATTTTTAAAATGATAAACATCTTAAAAATTCATTTTCTTATTAGAATTTATACTTCCCAATGGCTATCAGAATGTGATTACACTATTACACTCTCAATATCTAGGTAGATAGAAATAGTTGAATAAGCTCATACGTACTAAGTCAACACAGGATCTAATGCTTTTCAGAGAAATCAGTGTGGTAGAGACTTTAATATTACCTTAGTGCAAAAGGGCCCCAGACTGGTAAAATTACTCCAGCTCAGGTTTTTTTTTTTTTTTTTTCCTCAAAATTTTAAGAGACATGGGACCTACCCTAGCTGGCTAGATAGATGATATTAGAATGTGACCTTGAGTAAATAGTAGTTTTATAAGAAGAAAGTTATAAATTTAAAAATATTATATCAAATGCAATGAAACCTCACTATAATTGCCTTATAAGACCATGAATTCATTTTAAGAATGTGATAAATCATGTCCCCTGGGTGAAGATGGAAGCATTAAACATCTCCTTCTCTATAGAATCTCCAAACCTAAGTCTTGTCTTGGATGTGTGACAATATCACAACGGGGTCATAGCATAAAGACAATGATTTGGTTGGTTGTATTTTATGTCTAAATCCATGTTTATTAATAATGATTGTGAAGCAAGGATTCATTTCAGACACTTACGGATTTCAACCATATGCTGTGATCAAGAAAGCAGCATATTTGCCTAAAAGCAATATTTAAATAATTTTATTTAAAACTTTAAAAAATATTGTTTGCTTATTGAAAAACACTCACAAAAACAAGGCAAGCAAGGACATGCTACATTTAATTTTATGGAGATCCTTTTGAATACAGGCACACTGAAAATATAGTATTGTAATAATCTTGCAAAAAGATAATTACATTATTAATATAATTACAAAACCAGTTTGAGTTTGGTAGTGTAAGAGACTGAAATTATTTTGAATGGGGTAATTAGCCTGCCAAAAAATTAACAGAGTTGTATTCATGTTATTAAGAATCTGAAGAAATTATGTATTTGCTAACTTTTACCCTGAATGAAAACAGTGGTCACTGAGGGCAATGATGGACAGAACTTTCTTTCAGGACTCTGTTATACAACTTCCCACACTTGGTTGCTGCATTAGATCTTACCTTCCTGACTCAAATGTGAACCATGTTGAGTCCCGACCATATCTCCTCAGTGAGCTGAGAGGCCACATCACCAGTTTGACCTTGGCATTGTGGATATCCCAGAGATAGATATTTTCATGAGTGATCTGCATTGTGCATTCACCATAAATATCCAGATTTGGCGTAGGCATAAGATACACATTGAATCGCTCTGTGAAGAAACGAAGAATGGAGAAGATTAAGTGAAAGAGGTATGACTGTCTATGGCCGTATGATATTAATTTATCTACAGACTGCAGGAAACATTACCACGTCCCTTGGTGATATGGATAAACACTGTAGAACATTACATATTTCCAAATTTGAGACAAGGAGTTCATTAAAGTCTTCTGAATCATTAATTCACTCACTCAGTTAACTTTTCATGGCTTGTATTGTCTATGGTGAGGATTAAATAGTTAAATTGTACAATGGAAAAATAAGGGCAAAACTTAAGGGAGTCTCTGCCCAAATTGTGCTTATAGTCTGCTCCTTCACACAATCTAAGTGGTTATCACAGATACAATTCCAGTGAGGAATATCTTATTTGCTCGACTTAGGCAAGATCTTACTGGAGTTTTACCTTCATTGACGTGAAGTATTTAATGCACACTCAGACTGACTCACTACTTAAGCACTGCAAAAATAATTTAGTTTGAATCTCAAAACAAATTGTAGTCATGGTCAAATTTAGCATATGATAATTGCAGATATTCATTACAGTCTTCCGCAGAACTTAAGACATTGCTTTGGTAAGCAAAATAAAAATACTTAACTTTTTTCATTCCTGGATATCCTATGGTCAAAAATATGATTATTAGGCAATCATTCCAAACCTTACTTTGTAACTGTGTATCTCAAAGGCTATTGCAAAGTTATGCTGCCTTTGATTCCCATTTAAATGCATTCAATAGATTTTATTTTGAAAAATTAGTTTGTAAGTTCTGGAAGTAAAAACTTGGTGTGCCTTACAACATACTCTATAAAGCATCCCTACTTCCTAGCACCACATCCTTTGTTTACAGTAAGTGTCCAATATTTGTTAACTGTATGAATGAAGTACATCTATGTCATGATGAATTATGAGATGCAAGAATTGAAGAATTACAAAAAAAGTCATGATAAAGTTTAAGAATTACTGGCAGATGTACCTCTGTGGGTTAGGATTTAATTGTGAATAGTGCTTTAAAGTCAGTGCTGTTGAATTTTGAGAGATGAAATACTACAGCTGCAGATGGAAAATGATTGATATGTTTAGGAATGTACTATTCATAATATAATCTTAAATGCTACATGTTTGCTGGTACTGAGCTGAAATTGTATAATAGATTATTTTCTTTCTATTTTACTTAGATATTTCACTTTGTAAGGATTCTGATGCCAAAAAAAACAATATTCGGATTCCAAATTAACATAAGCATGATAGCTTAACATTTACTAGCCATAAAGACAATATTTATACTCATGTGTCTTGATATTTTGGACAATAGCTTATCTAATAATTCAGTCTTTTAGATTATTGACCCATGAAACTAATATGTGTATGGATTTCACATTCACTTCCTAAGAAATGACAAATTGCAATCAATTATATGGCTGAAAGCTGAAGAAAGAACATTGCCTCATTAATTACCTGCAATGAAAAGCCCAAATATATACATATTCTCAATAGCTTAAAATTCTTAGGTACAACCAACTAAAATATTAACATTTAGCATTAAACACATCACTCACATTCCCATCATAATTCCCACTCCAATAGGATTAGTAGCAAATCAAAGGGGCATGATCTCATATAAAACTATAAAACTTGGACCCAAAGGGTTTACACAGGGAATACAGACAATGCCTGAATATCAATCTTTTCTTTGGCCAGGAACCTTTTGATAAAGTTCAGCTCCTACATGTGGAATTAATCATATGTCAGTGGCACCTGTTATGCATAGAGAAAATATTGTTACAGAAATGGAAAGCAAAACATTTCTTTACATTCTTTCCTTTCCATCAATTCCAGAGTCTGAATTAGCAACCAAAAAATCATTGCAAAAATGCCAATAAATAACATTTCTTCCAAAATATTGAAGTAAACATTAATGAGTATTATTGTTGTTTATGGCTGTATTGACCCTTGATATTCATGCCCACAGTTTGATAGTTAAAAACATAGAATGTTAAAAAAAAATCTTGACATTGAGTGTCCTTCAAGTGGATGGTACATGAAACATGACCTGTAACAGTGGACCCAGAAGGACCATTACATTTTCACTGAAATGCTTGGGTGCTCAAATGTTAGCAGATAAAGCCTAGGAAAAATGAGCAAGGAGAGAGTACAAGCATCACACCGGACACTGGAGAAAGCTGAAAAAAATCAAGTAAGTGAATTTAGTAAGATTCACATGATATAGCGCTCTACGTATCTCTATCTCCGTCTCCGTCTCCATCTCTATGTATATCATCAAGGCCCATTTTAAAAAAACTAATTGGACAACTTGCCCTAAGGGAGTTTTTCCAGGGCCATCTCTAGTCAATACAAGCAGGTGAAATTTACCCGTGGTGTCCCTACCCTCTTGCCTGCCTTCTGCTTTCCCTGTCCTCATATACTTTTCAACCCAGCAACTCTAAAGTCAACCCTTCTTGTTATGGTTTAGAACCCTCCAATCTTCCTTTGGATGCTATTTCTTGCAACTTTTGAAAGAAATTATACTAAGATATATTTTCAATTTTCAAGTATTCAAAAATCTATTCTCTCCTAATGCCTAATTTCTAAGAATTTCAGATTCAATTAAAAAGTGAACAAATTTAATCCAGCAGAAAAACTAGGCACATAAAGATGAAGGCGGCACATTATGTTACCTAACTATACTTACGTGAATTCCATTATAATGAGGAAGGAAGCTTTCTGCCTTGACAATGAATACATCATTGTATTCTCTTATTAGCATAATATACTTGTTTTACTGAAACATTTGTTAAGGTTTTGCTAGAAAGACCATTTCAAAATGGAGTGGCTAAAATTGGCTCCATTAAAATTATTTCTAAAAAATTTTTATCTTTGTGAAACAATTCTATCAAGCAGGCATTTTAAATCACTCTCTAATTATGCTGCTTTTTAAGAACCCACGTTTGGTTTTCATTTCGTATACTGTTGGTTTTTCAGACTTCAGTGTGCATTAAAATTACCTGGAGGCTTTGTTCAAACAGAATGCTGGGCCCCCCCCAATCTTATCATTTCTGGTACAACAGGGCTGGATTGGAGCCAGATAATTTACATTTTCCATTTATTCCCAAGAGCTGTAGACACTGCTGCTCTGGGGACACTTTGAGAACTGTTGATTTGTGAAACTCACTCTAAAATATTGCTAGGGAAGTAGCAATATTAAAGAAACCATGAGGAATGACTGGAAAATGATGCCATGTACGAGCAGAACAAAACAGTACGTTTTTTTTTTTCCCAAAGTGTTATCTAATATCTGCCCAAATAATCCCATCTCAACCGATTCATATATGATTTTGTAAGAAAGAGTTCTCACTAATTGGAACAAGAGACAAGAGCATAGGAAGAAAGGAGATATATGGAAAATGGTTTATAATTTATCAAGATATGTGTATTCCAACTATTTTCCTTATCAGACGATTGACAGCAACAACAAAACATTACTAAAGAAAACTAAACAACCCATTCCCAAATACCCAAAAGTACTGAAAAGGAAGCTAATTGTCTAAATAATATCCTAAAACATAAATATTCTGATAATCTGTGAAGACTGATGAATGTATGAAAAAACAAATTTTTGAAAAGGTTATGTAAAAACAAATATCAAATCAAAATGTGTTCATTCATATAAGATTTTAGATTACAGAGTTAAAAAGTCCCAAACACATTGCCCGTGAATTTGTATATTAGTAAAATGTAGAGTCCCATGTTAGCTAATACGTGAGAAAGTATAATTTTATTTTAAATGGTTAAAACAAAAAACAAGGGTAGAATATGTATTAAATATTATAAATATATAATTATACTATAATAAAGT